CCCGCCTCCCGCCCCATCTGATCCTTCCCGCCCCGGGCCACGCAGCAGCCGCCCCAGGAGCCCCTCGCAGAGCCCCGCGGGCCGCGGCCCAGCCTAAGCTTTGGCACCTTCGCTCCCTGCGGCATGGCTGCTTGGCCCGCGGCCGCATGGCTGCCCGCTCTGGTTGCTAGTAGGAGCTGTTCGGGAAGGAGTTCGGGGTCTCCACATGATGCCTGGAGAATGCTGCAGTCTGCACATTAGACGCTTTTTAGAAGTTTTGGAATTACCTTGATTTTTCTAATTGTTATGAAAATAAACTTTTCTTGACTCTCTCCCACATGCTCTGTAATCGGGAGAGAATTCCCCTTGCCCACTCTGATGTATAGACCATTCTCCCTACACCAGCTGAACAAATGTCAGAATTAATAAAGAAATTGACTCATGGCACAGGGCTCCATCTGTCCTTCTTGGCTCGTCCTTGGGAGTTTGAGGTGCTGAGGCAGGAGTGAAGCCTGAGAGTGGAATCAGTCAGCAGGGTGGCTGGCGTGCACCCCAGAGAGGTGCCCAGCTCCCAGACACCTGGACAGTCCCCCTTAATCAGGACCACCCACTCTGGGAGAAGCTCCCCAACCCCTGAGACAGTAGAGCAGATTTCTGATCCACCTAATAACTACAAGGGGGTGGAGGCAAGTACAAAGTGGAGGGGACCCCACAAACCACCAGGATACCTGGCCAAGCCCACAGCTGGCACACACTCAGGGGGACCCCCTAAAGCCCCCTGTGAAGGTGTCTGTTCCCTGCACGCAATGCCACTCAAAGTTGAAGAACTTTCAGGAAAAGTGCCCTGTTCCTAACAATTAGTTCCTAACACTGCGTGCAAGGCTGGCAATCAAGCTGGCCTGTTTCCTCATCTGTCAAATGGGGGTATGGATTAAGCACTTGTTAAAAATCTCTGCAGTGTGTTATTGTGGGATCCCGGAACATGAAAGCCTTCATCAAGCTTGGCATTAAATAAGAACCAAATCATTTGCTGCGGCTTTTCTTCCTCATAAGTTCCCATCCTTGTGGGATGACAAAGTCACAGTTGCAGGGTCCTAGGAACACTCCCAGCCCTCACTCTGAAGCTTCTTTCTCAGTATCAGAAAAGCCACCCAGACCAAGGGGCCAGCCAGGGCTATGCAACCACATGGCCCAGAGGGTTTGCAAAAGCACAGGTTCAGTAGCCTGGGGGAGGGGGCCGATGCACTGGAATTCAGAATTAAGTTTCCCAAAATAGCAGCCAACGCGGATGGATAAGAACCTTTTTTCTAGCTTTTAATCCAAACTTCTAGAAAAACAATCTCCACACGCAGCCTTTGTGAGGTCTTTCTTGCATTAAACTAAATTTACACTACAGAGAGCATGGCTCGGAGACCAATTTCACCATGAGCAGACAGCCGTGGGGGGAGTCGGCTCCGAGTGAGAGGGAGCTAGCCCTGAGTCCTGGGCCCTCAGCCTCCAGCTGAGAAACCAAGCCAGCAAAAGGGCTCCTCAAAAGGGCACTACTTGTCTCCCACTTGCCAAAGCACACCGACGGGGTGGTGAGAGAGCCAAGGAGCTCACAGCTGCTCAGGAGAGGCGTTGGGACTGCCAGGCAGAGGAGGGGCAGAAGTCCACCTGTCTAGTAGTCACTCTTTTTCCTGTCATTTTTCCTGTTTAGACTAGTATCATGCTGATTTCCACTAAAAAACAAAAGCAAAAACTTCAAGAAAGGATGCTGCCCCATATAGAAATAATCCAAGGTTATTAACTGCTATCTCCCTGTTTGTAAAATGAGAGACCCCAGAAAAGCTTTGTGTGTTGTAAAAATTCATTAGGGGAAAAAAAAAGGCATGTGGGTGCTCTGTGATTTAATCTAGTTTCCTCCATCAAAATTCACTGAGCGCCAACCAAGTGCCCAGCGCAGGGAACCACTGCCGAATAAACAACCATCAAAGATTTCCAACCCAAGTGCCACGCCAGACAGAATATGGCAATTGCTCCAGCAGAGGCACAAATGATTCCTCGGTGGAGGAGGAAGACAGGACAGAGGGGATCAGGAAAGGCTGCCCAGAGGCAGAGGCAGGAAGCACACACCCCCAGAATATGCAGAGCTTCCCCAGTCTGCCTGGCAGGCCCCCACTCCCAGGCTCTCAGGACAGTCACAGGCATCTGCATTGCCCCTCCCCAAAGCCCAGGGTCCCCACTTACCCATCCCAGCATGGAGGAGCGAAGCAGGCATCCATGCTCAGACTGCACACTCCCACAGACGCTTGGGCATCTGCACACAGGGACCTCACCGAGCACCTCGGGACAGCGACCCCTGAGCGGGGCCACCTTGCCTTCAGTGGAGCAGCTGCAGGAACTGTGACTGACTGCCAGCAGCTGCCTCAGGAGCCTCCAGGACCCCCACGCACCTTTCCTAGATGCTCGACTTGGGGGAACAGGAGCAGGTGGACCCTCTGAGAATGAACAGAGCTTCCAGAGCGCGCTCTCTCTCCACACACACACACACATACACACACACACACACACACACCCTAGCTGATTTTACAGTCAATCTTTCAAAGTGCAATTTGTCTAGGAAAAGCCAATGTGAAGCCCATGTGGGTTTCAACCAATGGCAAGGCAGCTGGCGCGGCTCAGCCAGTCCCTGTTCTGTATTCTAATGGGCCATATCTTTATCAGGGAAATGTCGCTTCTCTGAACTTAGAACTTCTCATGAAGGGTCCCCAGACTCAGAGGCAGAGGAGGGGTCTGAGCTGAGGCGTGGGGAACCGCCTTTCCCCAGGCCGGGCCGGGAGAGAGGGAAGGGGTGCGGGCAAGGCCTCTCACCTGTCCCGGAGCACCTGACTTCCGAGCCTCTGACGTGGGTGCCAGTCCTGGGCAGGGGCTGGGCCAATGCTTTAGGTGGGAGGGCAGTTGGGGCTCGAGGCTGCTTCTGATCCTCCAAACCTGCCATGGGATTCTGGGCCAGAGCGCAGGGTCTCGGGGTTTAGGGGCCTGGATTCGGGCTTCCTGCCTTCCCTCACCCTGACCTGGGGAACATGGAGTCCAACCTGCAAGGGACGTTCCTGCTGAACAACACGCCGCTGGCTCAGTTCTCGGAGATGAAGGCCCCCGTGTGCCAGTACTCGGTGCAGAACTCCTTCTATAAGCTTAGCCCCCCAGGGCTGGGCCCCCAGCTGGCCGCCGGGACCCCCCACGGCATCACGGACATCCTGAGCAGGCCCGTGGCCACGCCGAACAGCAGCCTGCTCTCCGGCTACCCCCACGTGGCGGGCTTCGGCGGACTGGGCTCCCAGGGGGTCTACTATGGCCCCCAGGTGGGGAATTTTTCCAAGGCTGGGAACGAGTATCCCACCCGGACCCGGAACTGCTGGGCCGACACGGGCCAGGACTGGCGAGGCGGGCGGCAGTGCAGCAACAGTGAGTACAGGGAACCCCGCATCGGGGAGGAGGAGGTGTCCTAAGGGGACACTCAACCATGGGGCCCACACCCACCGCCCACCTCTCCTCAGTCGCCATCACAGCCCAACTCAGAAGCTCAGGAACCTGGACCTGTCTCTCAGCTGGGTGGGGGCACGATTCTCCCCTCCACACCCCACCCCATCTTGCTTGGACAGGGTGTCTGCACCCCCGCTCCCCACCCCTTACCAGCTGTCCCCCTAGGAACCTGGGTGTCTCAAGGTCCGGGGAAGACCACAGAGCCCTCACCCACCTGGTGCAGGGTCCAGCTGGCAGCTCAGAAACCCAGAAACCATGTCACCACTTCTTCATCCACAGCAGGCAAATGCTGTCCCCAGTGAGAAGTTGCCACAGCATCAGCTTCCCAGAGAGCCCATGCATGCCCTGGCACCATGCAGGGACACAGGGTGCACACTGACCCCATTGCAGTCCCACCTGTGATCTAGGGGCCTTGTTTCCTACCATCCTCCTCAAGGCTTATGTCAATAGTAGCAGTGACAACGGCCCAGCCCTCAGGAGTAGCTGCTGAGCCAGCTCAGACTTGGCTGTAGCTGTGGTGGGGCTGTCCTCACCCTACCCACCCTCAAACCTGTTTTCAGAGAACTGGCACATGATGCTAGTCAGGGGCTGGAGGAGGGGGCAGGACATGCACAGACGGGTGAGGCTCCCCTGGGAGGCAGGGAGAGTGACAGTGGCTGCCAGAGCCATCCCTGTGCTACGAAGGCCCTGCCTACATCAGGCAGGGCCAGGGACAGAGACAGCCTCCACTGCTGGCTGAACATGGGGCTTCCCACAGCAAGGTTTCCTAGGGCCAGCCAAGGAAACCCGAGGCACAGCTGCCTCCCCTCTGCTGCACTGCTCCAGATGGTCACAATGCCTGGCAGCCCACCCCTCACTCAACCTGAAACACAGCAAGTTCCCTGGGGTTGAAGACCCCAGCTCTTGGAACCTATTTTTATAACCTGGTTTGGGGGTGCTTTAGGCCTCAAGCAGTCTCTCCCTCTCACTTCCATCTTCCTTCCCATGCCAAACACATGCCTTTTCCACACTTCTGCTCTTCAACCCTGGAGCACATCCACACACAGGAAAACATCTAAGAAAGTCAGTGGTTGAATTAACAAAGAAAGAGTATTGAAGAGGACCTTTCTAGGGAGGTTTCTTCCCCTTTCTGTACCTCAGTTTCCTCACCTGTAGCATGAGGAGGCAGGACACGGGCCATCACGCTGCACTGAACAAGGCCTGACAGGTGGGCATTCTGCTTACCCTGAGCCCCACAGCCCTCTGGCCCAGCTGCTTCCTAACAGGCTGCTTCTGTGTCCATACTCTTCAGTGTGGATGACTCCCAGGCCTGGGAACAGGGGACAGCAGTAACTTGGGGCTTAAAGCTCTGCATTCTGGAGACCTGGAAAATGGGATCCCTAAACAAGGAAGTTAGGAGGGGAGGAATTCTCAGTCCCCTTGGGCCCTGATTGTTGGTAGCACATGCCTAACCCATTTCTTGAAACTCCTCTTGCCCTGGTGGGGGAAGGCAGCACAGCTGAGTTAGAACATCACACAAAGAGGCAAGGTCCAGGCCGGGCCCTCAGTTCCCTCTGTCTCTAGATAGCTGTAACCTGAAGCAGGTGGCTTTTGAACAGGTGTCTGTCCACCCAGACATGGCAGAGGTCAAAGTCACTATTATCAGAATGTCAGGAATGCTGCTTATGTGAGAAGTGTTATGACCACCCCCCAACCTCAGTGGCTTCTCTGTAGGAGGGAGCTCAACCTGGGGGAGAGGCAGGGCAGGGCTGGCATCCCATTCATCCTGCTAACCACACTTGTCCTTTCTCCTGCCAGCCCCGGACCCCCTGAGCGACAGTATCCACAAGAAAAAGCACACTCGGCCCACCTTCACGGGGCACCAGATCTTTGCCCTGGAGAAAACCTTCGAACAGACCAAGTACTTGGCAGGCCCTGAGAGGGCAAGGCTGGCTTACTCACTGGGAATGACAGAGTCTCAGGTCAAGGTGAGTGTGTTTGGAAGAAGGTGTCTGCCTGGCAGTGAGGAGCCTGAAGGACAGGATGCCACCACGTGGGGGAGAGGCAGCCTTTGCTCTCCCAGCAGCTCCCAGCTCTCAGTGAAAGGCCTCCTGCTATCTGGGCGCTGCTTGCCACCCAACCCTAGAGATTGTGATAATTCCCTTCGCCAAAAAATGGCTGCCGAGACTGAGCCCAATGTTGAAAGTCTTATTTGTAGCATCTCATTTAAGCCTCACAGCAACCTTGAGATGCGTGTCATTACCCCTTTTACAGATGAAAAATCCATCTCAGCTGAGCCTCACTCACGGTCACTGGGATGGTAAGTGCAGAGTTGGGAGTCAAACCCAGATCTGTGGGACTCCAGGCTCACGCTTTCTCCTCTGAACGGTCTAGGCCAGAAACTTCAAGAGCTGATGGCAGCCTCTGACCCAGATCAGGGGTCAGCCTCTAGGCCAGGGTAGGACTGGATTCAGGCTTGTCCTATTAGCTGGCCGAGGAAGACAGCCTTGGTATACCCAACTGTAAAGTTTGGTAAAGTTTGGATGGGATACCAGATGTAGGAAGCCTAGAAGACACATGCAGGGGTCACTGTCACGCCCCTACACACCACGGAGCCTGAAATCAGCAACCGGGCTTCTGCCTCCTCAGGCTCCTGGGGTCAACTTTGGCAACTTTGATGCTACATCTCTCGAGAGAGATTTTGGCTGTGGGGCACCAAAGAAGAAAGCTTTGAGCTATGCTGGAACTGCCCACCTCTGTGACATGGCAACAGGTTTAAGCCTAAAGGGAAGCACAAGGAGAGGTTGGGACTGGGGTCTGGGCTCTGTTCAGGGCCCTGCAGCCTCCTGGTCAGCCCACTATTAACTGCTGGAGAGAAGCTGCCAAATCTAAGTGGAAGGAAACCATATCGCTCTCTTACATATTTTTCTGCTTTAGGTACTTTTCTGTACTCTTCAACTATCCCAAGCATTTGAGAATATATTGTTTTTATAATTAAGGGGAAATTTTTATGAAGTTCAGTGAGGGACCGTGGGGCTAAAAGAAGAGGTGACTCTTGAGCACCTGCTGACGCGCCCTCACCCGGGCTGATGCCTTCCCACCCTGGGCATCCCAGCATCTCCCACGCAGGCGCCAAGGTGGCGAAGCAGAAGGAGCGCAGGCCCCGGGGAGGGCTCCGGCTCAGAAAGGGCTGCTGCACTCGCATTTATGTTTTCCTTGCCCCCCCTCCCTAAAAGCAGTGTGACTGTCACAGCCTCCTCTGTTACTGAGCCATTTATTTACTGTAGAAAAAGCACCTGGTGTACTTGCACCGAGGGAGCCCGCCTCGGAGCGCTGCGTGCCCCCGCGTGACCCGTCTCCCTCACCCCAGGTGTGGTTCCAGAACCGGAGGACCAAGTGGCGGAAGAAGAGC